ATATCAAAAAATTGCAATTAAAAACCAAGAAATTGCAGAAATAACAAGAGAAGAATTAGACAACACACAAAAAGAAAATGAGACACAAAAACAAATAATATCAAAACAACAAGATGATATTGAAAATTTTATCTCACAGAAGGAACTGGAGAAGAAGAAAACGATGACGCTTGTGATAAATACACAACCAGTACTGAGGAAAGCATCATCAGGAACAATGGAGATGAACGAAACTACTCCTATGAAAAAGACAGTAGTGGAGATCGAAGAGAAAAGCAAAGCACTGATTGTCAAAAAACAAGAGATGATAATCAGACAAGAAATACAACAAAACAAAGAAATAGAATTTTAATTGAAGTGTTGTATTGTTTTGGAATTAATTGGTTAAATAAGAAATTATATAAGAAATTAAGAAATGAACAAATAGAAAGTATAATAAAAGCAATAAACATCAATGTCAATAATGAAAAAGAATTTATTAAATATATTAAAATATCACATAAAATAAAAGAAAGCACTAAACGGTACATTAAAGTGAAAGTAAATGATATAATAGAAGGAAGAGTAGAGTGTAATTCAATAATAAAAAACATCATATTAAAGAATAACTCTACAGAAATTGATGAAGAATATCTTAACACTCTCATCAATAAAATAAAAGAAATGAACGTAGAAAAATGTTCAAACATTAATTACTACTGGAAAAGAAAAGAAGCTGACCGATTAATAATAGAAATTAATAATAGATGGATAATGTCAGGAAGCAGAATGCATTATCTACAAGATGATATGAAGAGGATTTCAATGGTTATGCACCTTTATCTCCAAAATAAAATAATAAGAGATAAATTTGATGAAATAAAAGAAATCCTAAAGAAAATAAATAGACTAGAAGATTTGGTCAAGGGAAGGAAATGGTACAGAATAAAGTGCATCATGAAATTAAATGAACATGATGAAGAAGGAATAAAAGTTAAAGCACTAGAAAGAATAAAGTACCTAAAATATATGATGACAATGAATAAAGAATTAAATTTAATAAAAATGAAATAGTCAGAATCAATACAAATAAAATCATGTTTGATTCTAACAAGAAAATTAGAATAAGGAAGAAATAAAAGAAGAAATATACCCAAATAACGATATTAATTTAGAATATTGGAAATCGTTATATGAAACACAGGTGATATTAAATAAAGAAAATTTGAAAATAAAACAAATCACCTCGTGGAATGAAAGATATTTCAATTATGATAATGTCATAATAACATTAAATGAATTAAATTTAAGTATAATGAAAATAAATAACTGGAAAGCACAATGAATAGACACTATATATGGGTATTATTGGAAAAGGATGTCATCATCAAGAGAAGCCATTCTTAGTATCTTCAATGAATGGTTAAACTTCCCCGAAAACATCCCATTAGACATGGTAAGTGGAAGAACTTTATTAATCCACAAAGGAGGTGATAGGAACGACGTCACTAATTATCGTCCTATCAGTTGTACAAACGTAATAATGAAAGTATTTACCTCCATATTAAAAGAGAAGATTCACAGAAGACTTAACATGAATTGTGAATCATTTAAAGTTAGTAATAATCAACTGGGATGTAAATTACAATCTTTAGCTGCTAAAGAAGGAATAATAAATAGCTATATGATGAAGCAGCAGAAAGAATAGAAATACCCAAAATATGTGGAGTCATATTATGACATTAAGAAAACATATGACACTGTCAACCACGAATGGGTAATTGAATCAT